TAGAAAAAGAAATTCCAAAACAAGGAATTTCCTGATCTTTTTCAATTGAGTGCAAACGTGATTAGGTATGAACGATTAATAAGAGAAAAAGAGCAAATGAAAAATTCTTGCAAGGGAACTTATTATAGAGACCCAAATTTTGATATTCATGCCATTAATGACGAATATTACGATCAAGCCGAAATGTGTTTGGTCGAATTGATTAAAGGAGATACGTATACTTGTCCTATAATGGCTAAGTCTAGACTGTCGGGTAAGGATGATCCTATAAAAGATGAAAACAAAAAGGTTAAAACATTCTCGTTCGATGTAACTAAAGCTGACTTTATATTTGATAAATTATATAAGGATAAACAGATATAGTTGAGCGATAAGCATAAATTGCCAAACCCTGAACAAATTAAGGGTAAAAAATATTGTAAGTGGCATAATGCATGGTCACATTTGACTAACAATTGCTTGGTTTTTCACCATGTATTACATGATGCCATTGAATCAGGACAAATTACGTTCGACGATAAGAAGAAGATGGCAGCGGATGAAAATCCTTTTCCATAGCCACTTGGAGTGAACATGGTGACATCTGGATTCAAAAACAAGTTGCTAAAATTCAAGTTGGTCGTAGATGATGGAGAAGAGGATCCTAGACCACATCCCAGTGTCTTTGAACGAATCAAGGGGAAATAACCAAAAAAGGACGAAGACGTCCTGTGTGCAAGATGTAAAAGAGAAATGAATGGCAATACGAAGAAACCAGGGATATGGCAGCATCCCCATCGCCCTACCTTCTTCCCAAACACTCAGCCTGGTAGAGGGCGAGGTACATCATTCTATAGAGGACCGCCTTTTGAGAGGCAGTTCAGGCTAGCAGATAATGGAAGAACATTCAGGCCACAACCTCGCCGACCAAATGTATGGCATTCGTTCCAGTATAATGCAGGAAGGGCAATACCCTTCGATGAGATGACTAGAACCCAACAAAGGCATTTCCAGCGAAACTATGGACGGATGATGAGGCAGCAACAGGGAGTGCCACATCCTAAAGTGCCTAAACTACTCAAGGTAGCCAATCAAAATGTCCTCAAAGATAGTGAAGAGACCGGTACAGATGAATCAATGAAGGAATTGCCAGAAACTTCTTCTGGGAGATCAAAGTTTGAACGAGACAGAAGGGATGGAGAAGATCCAGATCAGCCTCTTACTATCCACTTCGGTACGTTGCCTCCTATCGTGGTCAATAATTACTTACTGGCTAATGAATTCAAGAATAAAGAAAAAGAAGAAGAGAGGGAGGACAATGAAGGAGAAGCTTGCGTGCTGGAATGTGAAGAAGGCCAGACTTCTAGAGAGGCCTACAACGATGAAGAGGATGACGGGATGATAGACATTGAAGAAGAAATCGATCTAGAAGCAGAAGGAAGAAAGAGAGGAGTATCGCGCAATACTCTGTTGAAGCAACTACATCGAGAGGGAGTTCGCGAAGTAGACTTGTTGGGAGAACCATCTGGGTGTCCTTTCGATTTCTACGTACTGTACAGGACACCCAAAAGGAAGAAGAGAGTGCCTCGCCTCATCGCTCCATCAATGCCTAATCTTTTGGAATAAGAAAGGCGAAGCAGAGCTGGTACAGGCTGATCATTGGCCTTTTCTCGCAGAAGCAAACTCGGTGGAGAAGTTCATGTACGAAGGAAACTATGGACCTGTCAGGGTGGTACAAGATGGGCAGCACGATATGCTACACGTCGACTTATCACAAGGGGATAATTCGACAGAAAACAAGCAGGAAGTAGAAATAGAGGCTGTCGAAAAGGTTATTTTTAAACGGCCAGCCATGAAATTGACTAAACACTTGAGCCCATTATACGTTAAAGCTCTAGTTAACGGCATCCCAATGGCAAAAGTGCTTGTCGACAATGGAGCAGCTATAAACACCATTCCATCTAGGGGAGAAGATCGTCCAACATTCATCAGCCAGATGTTTGATCAAGAGGTTAGTAATAAATTAATCGCTTTGCTAAAGGAGTATAAAGATTGTTTTGCTTGGGAATATGAACAAATGCCTGGTTTAGATAGAGACTTGGTGGCACATAGGTTACCAACTAAGCCTAATTTTAAACCTCATAGGCAGCCTCTTAGACGTTTTGCTCCTAATGTACTCCCTGAGATTAAGAAAGAGATAGAGTGATTATTGAAAGCAGGCTTTATTAGAACAGCCAGATATGTCGAATGGTTGTCCAATATCGTGCTAGTACTAAAAAAGAATGGTAAACTAAGGGTGTGCATAGACTTTAGGAATTTAAACATAGCTACACTCAAAGATGAGTATCCAATGCCCACGGTGGATTCTTTAGTAGACTCGACTGCCGGACATGTCATATATTCTTTCATGGATGGGTATTCAGGATACAATCAGATTTATTTAGCTGAAGAAGACATACACAAAACTGCCTTTAGATGCCCTGGGTCTCTAGGATGTTTTGAATGGGTGATTATGCCTTTCGGCCTAAAAAATACAGGGGCAACTTATCAAAGGGCAATGAATTTAATCTTTCATGATATGATAGGCAAGTTTGTTGAAGTGTATGTAGATGACATAGTAGTCAAGTCCATTAAAGAAGAGGACCATTTCGAACAGTTAAGATGTTCATTTGAGCGAATAAAGCAATATAAGCTAAAGTTGAATCCCTTGAAGTGTGCATTTGGTGTTAATGCAGGGAATTTTCTTGGTTTCTTAGTACACAAGAGAGGGATTGAATTTGATAAAAATAAAGCGAAGGCCATTTTAGAGGCCAAACCACCTAGCAACAAAAAGGAATTGCAAAGGTTTCTAGGCCAAGTAAACTTTTTAAGACGCTTTATTTCTAACTGTGCAGGGCAAACTAAAGTCTTTTCGCCGCTCTTAAAGCTGAAAAATCAGGACGAATTCGTCTGGAAAGAAGAACATCAAAAGGCTTTCGAAAGCCTAAAGACATATTTATCAAGTCCACCAGTGTTGGTGTCACCAATCCAGGGACGGCCAATGAAAGTGTACGTATCGACTGAAAAAGAATCAATAGCTGGAATGATCACACAGAAAGACCAATTTGGTGAAGAAAGGACAATTTACTACTTAAGTAGACGGTTAACGAAATGTGAATGTAA